CTCTGTTCTGAATACATGGTGACTATCCCACAAGTGTGCCTACCTTACTGTGTGAGGGGGTACACATCAACATGCTTTCAGGGGTCCACATCAGTTAAGACCAGTGTTTCTTTTTCTGGAGGGATGTTATACACGTATTTCTTTTTTCTCATATGAATGTACTTTGCTACTATTTTGATGTTCATTTTTCAGTAGAGACTTCTTGATGAAATACATTAAAAAGATAAGATATGTAAATGCTTGAGTTGGCATCTATGGCTAGGGGATGTGAACACTTCTTTTTCTAGGAAAATGGTTTCCTTTACATAAATTAAAATCCTATTGTTTGGCTGAGGGGGTGACCTTGCACATGGACAAGAGGTTAGGAGGCAGAAAGGCTTATCCGTTTGGCTTGTAGGATTCAAAAACAGGCATGCTGCCAGAAAACTCAAACTGAGAGGAGAACACAATTTAAAATAAAGTTTGTAGTATTGTTTTTTGTGGGGTTTTTTTTGCTGTTTTTTTTTAAATGAGCAGGAAGTTTTTTTTCTCTAATCAAAACTAGATAACTTAAATATTTTTCTTTGGTAATATCCTGACATTGTCCGTGGATAGGGACCTCCAGAGGAAAAGATAAGTGCTAACGGCTGCTTATGTCAGCCTGTTCCCAAAAGAGAGATCATCTGTCCAGCAGACATCAGAGGGAGTCTGCCTGACAGAGGAGCGTGTGCGCAGAAACCAGATTGCGAGATTGGGACCTAAATAAGATGGTAATCTTTGATTCTCAGTCGTTGTCATCACTTATTCTGTTTATTTCAGTGTTTGAGATTTGACAGTGTGCCATCACTGGGAGTTTTTCTTCCTGTAGAATCTTATTGGCTTATTTGAAAAACAACAAGAAAAAGCAGTGTGTTTTTTTTCACTTCTTAGGAGTTTTGATATCAGTTCTTAAGTAAGTCATCCCCAAACTGTGTTCACAGTGGTATAAAGAGGGTTGGGAATCCAAGAAGTGGGGTTTTGACTATGGAAGCAGTTGTCTTAAGGTTGCTTGTGTTTCAGGGGAGGCAGCATGGTTCATAAAGCAGATGGCACGGGGGGGATTGCTCAGGGAAAGTTTAGACTTAGTAAAATCTCAGAAATCAGATTAAGTGGACAGATGGAATTCTGCATTAATATGCTAACATAGAAGGGTTTTTTTTTGTCTTTTATTTCATTTTCCCAAATGATAACCTTGGAGATGCTGTTTTTTCTTTATATAGCTGACAATAAATGTAGTACTAGGAAATTGGTGTTATACTTAAACAGCTGTTTTCACTGTAACTGGTAGTTTTGGTTTGCTCTCATTTGAAAAACAAGCTGTGATTGTTTTTCAGTTTTTTCAGTGATTGCTGAGGGAAGACAGAAATACAAGGAGTTTAGGCTAGAGTTACTTGCTTGTCCATGTACAAACGGCAACCTTGATCTTCATGGGATTTAACCCTGTATTTGCTGCATTCCCACTTACCTGCTTTTCCCACTTTGTTTAGGAATTCCCAAAGATAGGGTTGCACGGTTTTCCAGGCTGCTCAATTTATGTAATGGCTGCAGGTGGCCCATTTCTGCCTGCAGTGCTAAGCAGGGACACATGTTCTTTTTGCCCATTCAGGCAAGGTACATTCACTAGTGGAAATGAGCAGTGAACGTAACCAGCTCTTGCCCTGGACATGAAACACTGCTGTAAGAATATAGTGGCAGGACATGTGTGTGCTGGTGGTGGCAGATGATTGCTGGCTCTACTTGTGCATGCCCAAGTGGTACTGGGAGCCAATAGGGCACCACAGGCATAACAGCTCAGGTCCAAAAAAGTCCCATTCACACCATATTGGTCAGGAGCCAGGTGTATTAGAGCTATAGGCATAGCCTGCTGTGAATGTGGTTGGCGTGTCTGGGGCACAAGAGTGGTCAGAGTTGTGAATTCACCAGCCTGGAATCTGTTACCTCGGCCATCTCTGCTTGGCAGCGTAGCAAAGAAGCACCAGCACTGGCCACAGGCCTCCAACTTCCAGGACCTTCCTCATCACACTTCTGAAATTTATTGCAGAGGTTTGTTTTCATGGTAATCTTTCTTTGTAGATAGTTCTTAGCACTGTCAATGTGTTAGAGAAAATTTTCTTCAACAATTTCAGTTTAAAGCTTGTGGTCATTCTATTGCTGTGGGAATCGAAGTGATGATGCAGGTTCAGTGTTCAGACTTCACTGCTGCATTAGATAAGGAAAAGAAGCTGCTGTGCGAGAGCAAACCTTAATTTCAGCAAATGATGTACATTTTGTGTGTATGTCAGTGAAGATAATGCATGAAAAGAAAGCAGGGCTGTTCAAGCTGCTAGGATTTTCTCTTCTCTCAAGGAAAAAAAAATCTAAATAAAAGAGGAGAAGTAGCTCCAGTGATTTAGTAGCAGGACATCAGGACATCTTCAGGCCTTCATCACTGTCATTTGTAAACAGCATTTTAGAGACTCCTTGGAGTCTTTCCTTATCAGAAAGAGATGGTTGCAGGCTGAAGCTTGCATATAGGGAACTAGAACATGGAAGAGAAATGAATTTCCTTCTGGAGATACTCATGGCTGGCTACCACTCTTTATCACTTAATCAATTTTAGTCATAGTTCCTATTCTAGAATTTTGTCTATAGGGAATCAAATAGGTTTGAAATTTGAGCTATTTCTAATCTTTTTCCTTGATTACTATTTAACAGAGAGCAGTATAGCTCCATTGTTCCTTATTATGTATGGTTGTTTTAGGAAAGGCTTACTTACATGTTACTGAGACTGCTTATGTATGGTGTTCAGCTTGTCTTACTCCCTTGCTTTTTTTTTAATACATGATCCACTACTCTTAGCCACATCTGTTCTGAGGAATATTATCACAGTAGCTATCTGACTTTAGGTCTAAGAGTTCCTGCAGGTTCTGAAAATAAAAACTTGTATTGCTTTTTCTCTTCATGTTTGTAAATACATATAGAATTCATAAATACATAGATACACATGAATGCCTCCTTTTATTATTGTGGTTTTCATATGCATGAAATTCCACAGGTTTTTTAGTCATCAAGCAAGTTTTCTAAGGGGGCATTCTGGTATATATTCACCAGTGTATGTACACTGTTTTTTCAATATATGTTGTTTTCTTTGACTATTAAATGTGAAACTGGGAACAAGTCCAGAATCTTTAATAGCTAAAATGTATTTCATGCTGATCTCCACCAAATTGGCATCATCCATTGCCAAGTTCTAAGGCGAGGACTGTGATGATGATGAATTTCTCTAATGGGGTTTTTGTTCTGGGCTGCCTGATATTAATACTTTTGTATTCTAGGATTTAGACAGAAGGTCTCTGCTTATTAAAGGACCCAATATCTTTATAGCTAAAATGCCCTTAGGATAGAGGTACTGATATTTTGAAGGATTGTATTAGATCACAATGTCCTTTTTTAAATTTTATATTGCTGTGTTATGTTTCTCAGCTTACTCAGCTGTGTCATTTCACTACTGAAATTCACAACCTAGCTTTTGTTGAGCTCTTCATTGTTCTTCTTGATGTGATGTCTTGCTGTTTTATATGAAAATAATTTCTTAATATCCTAATATGCAGTATTGGTATAATAGAACATTATCCCCAGTACTGTTCCATGGAAATTAATGGGTTTCTGAATATATATGAAAATGAAGTCCTGTTCTCATTTCTGAGCAGAACATGAAGAAATGAGTTGTGCTTGGAGTGTGAACATCTTGCTTGCTAGTGGCTGCATTTCCATGACACAAGAGGAATTTCACAAAATACTGTCCAGCTCCTTATGAGATGAAGTAAGCTGAGGGAGGAAAGTTCACGCAAGAACAATATAATTTCCAAAGGTGAATGCAAAGTCAAGAGTGTTGGGAGAAAGGGGGAGAAGAGAAGAGAAATAGGTACTCATTTAGGAGAATGGGGCAACCATAAAGGAAACAATCCAAGGACTGGTCTGGTTGAGGCCATTAAAGCATTGCTGGGTCTTTTCAATGCAGCATTTCATTTAAGTCATAGCTATTGGAGAGGCAACAGCTGCTACTTAATAGCATAACACAGAGGAACTATTGAAGGCAGGGAAAAATATCGATATAGAGGGTCCCTTTCTGAGGGACCATCTTGCACTAGCCACTTTGCTTTGTGCAGCAAAAGCTTTGTGACACAATGTTTGGTTTAATCACAGGAGTGTCTTAAAGTGGACAAATAATGCGCATCTGGAAACATTTAAACAAGCAATTAGTTCCTGGGAAAAGGGTACATTATTCAAGTAAAATGAAGTTCACTGTGTTGGCTTCTGACTGTATGTCTGCAATATGTATGATACTCCTGACTGGCTTAACAGTCACTTTTCCACCACTTACACTCTCCAGTTGTGCGTGGGGATGGGTCTTGTGATATCTGCTTGCCACTTCTGACACTATGCTGAGAGGCAAGTGAACAGAGAGGCAGGCAAGGTGTTTCTCTCTTGCCCATTGCTAGCACTCTGCATCCAACCTGTATGTGCCCTGTTTTGAGGATAAGGGCCAGATGCTTTGGGGTTTCATTGCCCCAGTTCGGCATCAGCAGAGAAGACCAGTACCAGCTGGAAGGTTCAAAATCTCTGTCTGTATTACAGCCTGCATTCCCCTGGGCTCTGCTCACTCCTCTTGACTGCCTGGGTTAGGATGGCCTGGGTTGAAAAGGACCACAATGATCATCCAGTTCAACCCCCTGCTATGTGCAGGGTTGCCAACCACCAGACCAGGCTGCCCAGAGCCATATCCAGCCTAGCCTTGAATGCCTCCAGGGATGGGGCATCCACAACCTCCTGAATTGGAGAGTTGCTGGCCAGGAAGAGAGGAGGCCATACTGTCACCAAAGTTTTAGAGGTTAGCAGTAAACTCCATGTCTTGGTGGCTGTTGCTGTGATAGCATGTTCTAAGTTTTGCTTCCTGCAGAAGCTGCTCTGATTATGATCACTATGATTGTTTGTCATTACAGAAGTAACGCTGAAAGTCCACGTGAGCGATGCCAGCACACATCAGCCAGTAACAGAAGCCTTCATTGAGATTTTTACCAACCAGATCTCCATTGCATCTGGAACCTCAGGAGCAGATGGCACTGCCTTCCTCAAGTTTCAGTATAAATTGGGCAATCAGCTGATAGTGACTGCTAGTAAACATGCCTATGTGCCAAATTCTGCACCATGGAAACCTGTAAGATTGCCTGGTAAGAGATCTTTATTTTTGTTCTGAGGTAAGAGTTTGCATCTAAAGGAAGTTATAATTTTGTATGATGTATTTTAATGCTTGCAGTCCGGGTGGTAGGAAGAATATCTGTTAGCTGCAGAAATGTGAGGTTCCTTTCTCAGCTAAGCTGTGGCATCAGGGCTGTGCAGAGATCCACACTCCTCCTACCTGTCCTTGATATGTCAGTTTTCAAACAACTGTTGATGCTCTTACAGCTCCACAGAGCATATAAATCTTCTCCAGATCGTTTTCTTTATAGGAATTCTGTTTTTAAGTGTTCTGTTTCAACATCTGTGATGTACTAGTTCTTTTATCTCCCAAGGTGTAGCAACAACTGTTGTACTGTAGGCTGTAGTTTACAAAACAGCCCTGGACTTTCAGCTCTTGGCCATGTCCCATAGGACAGTTTAAATCTGCAGTTGTGTTATCTAGATGTAAAGATTCTTTCTAACGTAATTAACATGATTAATTTCATCAGCAGACAAATATAATAATAATACTTAAATGATATTTCTTGTCCAAATGGCTCAAAATTTTGTCCATCTTTAAGGATATTAAGGACTCAGCTGGACAACCCCAAGCATGGTTAAAGCAGGTGACTTCCAGAGATCCATTCCAACCTTATTCTATTCAGAAACTTTCTTAATGTGATTTCTTTCTTTTTTTTTGCCTGTTTAAATAAGATGAAGTGCAGCTTCCTGGTGTATTTAACATACTCCTTAACACACGATCATATATAGTTAGAGCATGCCTTAACTTTTTCTTGTCTCTCACCTCATATCTTTCCCACTCACACCACAGATCTTTTGAACACAGCGTATTCTTCCTGGGCCTGGAATTTGTTGGTTAGGTTTTTTCGCTTATTGCTTTTTCTTAAATATTTATTTTGCGGGAAGGGATTCAAGCATGGTATTGTTTTGGTAAGTCATTGAAGATTAAAGAGCTGTAGTTATATACAGTTTCCACAAAATCTTTATTTCTACAGCTGAAATCTGAGCTTTACTCAGAAAATAGATTCCTTTCACCTTTAACTTCCCCCATTGAAATTGGCAGATCGTTTGCCATTGATTTAATTGGGAGTAGAATCCTTTCTGTACCCTAAACTTAATCCTTCCTTTGATTAAAGAAACAACAAGTTACAACTTGATACCACCTCATGTTGATTTAATGGGTTTGTTCTTGGAAATGTGACATAGAAGTTCAAACCCTAAATACTTAGGCTATTATTTTTTATACTGTAAAGCTTCAATGTCTGTGGTGTTTAACAAACTTACTATTTATATTTAAATGCTCCCCTATTATGCTTGTAAGTAGCGTAGTTTTGAAAATGGAAAACTTTGTTTTTAGTGGTTTTAATCTGGGGTCAATGATGGGGAACAGTCAGCATATTTAAATCTTGATTCTGCAGCGTACTGGGTACACACTTACAGCAGGATCTTCATTCCCTGAAAAAAACAGTACTTGTAGTCATCATCCCACAGACCAGATATGCCATTCTTAGCAGTGTTCCACCCACACCAGTGGTTTAAGCTCACATGCCATCCTGTATGCTGTGGTGAATTAAATATATAGGGATTTATTTCCACCACTTCATTTTGGAAATGATAACCACAAGCTGGGAGTAGCTTTGAAAGCTGTAGGGTGGTAATATTTAAAGCACTATTATAGGACTTTTTTTGAGGGGTCGCAGTTCTTCCATCATAGGCAATATACATTAATTATGATCTTATGCTGAAAGACTGTGCAGCCACTGATCTCATGGTAGCTTTAAGAACCTAGCGTCAAGGATTGTCCTAATAGTTTAGCAGGAATAAACTTTTCTCATATTAACCAAAATAATTACTAGCTCTTTACCTCTTAAGAAGGAGGATTATTTATTTACGTAATAATAAATGGTAGGAAGAAAAGATTAAGATCTCTTTTTCTATTAAACTATTTATCAGCAGAGCCATGACACCGCTTATTAACAGCTCATTAATTTAACATCACTTGAGTTGTTGAAGTGTTCATGATGGAAGATGTGCTCCCCTATCTCTTCTTGCCTACACATAGATTTTTCTTTATAAATAATTTGAAAGAAAATAAAATTGCAACTATTAGTCCATATTTAAGCAAATTATGGGGGGAGAGGGAAATTACTGAGCTATCCCAATTCAGACTAGTGGTAGTGTCAGCAAACACATACCATGGGAAAAAGTAGTCCTAGGATCAGAGAATGCTTGTCATGTTTCTGAGGGAGAAGACCTCATCTGAAAAGTGGTAGCTGTGCAGAAGACATGTAAGATGTAGTAGATGTATGGTTGACAATAAGCTTCTGGTATAGCACTAGAAGAAGAGGGAATAATCTGTAAAATAAGGGGGAAAAAAAGACTAAGAAGATGGAGCATACTATTTCAGTATTTTCTCTTGGTGGAGTCACTCTAGTAAATGCGCGTCTAATTCTGGATCCACAATTCAAGAGGAATGTTTAAAACTGCAGAGGTATATCAAGAATGATTTAGGATTGAAAAATATGGCATATAGGGAAAGACTTATACAGGCTTGATTTATTTGGTTCAGGATAGGAAAAGTCCTGGGGTGGTTTCTCTGAGTCCGTCAGCACCTGCACAGAGAAAAGGAGGTGTGTAAGAAAAGTCTTTTGTCCAGCAGGACTTGATTGAGAAGATGCTCAACACATTTTAGTAGGTAAAAAGACGCACAGTTGAACAGCCATTGTAATTAGTTGCTAACATGCTGGTGCTGTGGTGTATTCTTCACCACTTGACAGTTTAGGAAAAAACTGATAAACTGAAAAACATATTGTAAAACAGGTAAGTGCAGCTATTGGATCTGAAGCATTAATTAATTCAGGAAAGGCTGCTATTACATGGGAGTGAGAGTGAATCATCACAGTGGTCCTTCTGGCCTTAAAAATGATGATTTCCTGTCTTTGTCATGCTGGAAAAAGATTGTGTAGTAGAACCCATGGGAAGTTTAGGAATTATCTATGCATTATAATGGGGTGTATACAGAAAGCGTTAGTGTGGTTTATTGTATTGAGCTCCCCAGGGTGTCTAAGTTTTATTAGCTTTCTTCATACAAATTAAGCTACTGAAGTAAAGACAAACAAATTTTGTACTTGTGACCGTGGTGCTACTTACAGTAGGCATCCTTACTTACGTTGCATAGATGTTTCACATGCAGAGCATTTGAAAGAAAATTCTCAGTTGTAATTGCAGTAGCAGTGTGGCCTCTCTTTTGTTTCTAACATCTATGCTAGAATAGTTCAGGTAGAAGGGCCCTACATATACCAGAGTCCATCTGCCTGGTAACTTTAGGGCTAACCAAAAGGTATTAATGAGGGCATTGTCCGAATGCCTCTTGAGCACTGACAGACAAGGGGCACCAGCCACCATGCTTGGAAGCCTGTTCCAGTGCTAACGATGAAGAAATTCTTCCCAGTGTCCAGTCTGAACCTTCTGTGGCACAGCTTTGTGCCAGAGCTGCAGATAGTGATGAGGTCATCTCAGCCTGGTCAACCCAAGTGCCCTGAGCCCCTCCTCGCAGCCCAGGCCTTCCAGCCCTGTTACCCACTTTGTTGCCCTCCTCTGGACACTTTTAAGAGCTTTAACATCCCTTTTATATTATATTGCGGAGCCTAGAACTGCACGCAGAATTCAAGATGAGGCCACACCAATGCTAAATGCAGTAGGATGATCACCTCTTTTGACCAGCTGGCCGTGCTATGTTCAGTGCAACTCAAGATGTGATTTGCCTGGCTGTCAGGGCACACTGCTGGCTCATGCTGAGCTGCTCTCCCGCCACTCAGCTCCTATCTGTGCCTGTGTCCAGCATTGCTCCATCCTGTGCAGCACCTGGCATTTACCCTTGCTGAATTTCATGCCATTAGTGATTGCCTGCATGGTCTCTGGTATGAAGGAAGGCATGTTCACTGAGGGAAAATTTTAAAACCACATTACAGTCTGAAGAACTTGTGCTGTTCTTCTGTCATCAGTTTTGGAAATGTTTTTGTGAGCTTGTGGTCATCTCGGCATGGAACAAGCACTTCCCAGATGCAAGTATGGGATAGTGCCAGGTATCAAAAATGATTAGTCTGTATTCATTTCCTCCTGTCTTTCTATCTTTGAAAGCCAAGCATGAAGCACAGGGCGTTCTAATTCTTAGTGTGCTCATGGGTACATGTTTTTATGGGTGCAGGAATCAGACGTTGTCAGTGGCGAAGTCTGTGTGTAATTATGGTCTTCTGGGTTTGGAAAGTTTGGAATGAATTTGTTTCTTAATTTTCACTCTCTGGGCATGTCTGCATATATACCCTCCCAACACACCAGCACCCACCCACCCACCCACCTTCTAAGGAATGTCTGCATCCAATGGCATGCAGATTTCTTGCAGCATGTGCCATTTAGCTATCCCTTTTCATACCACGTGATAGAATGACACTGATTCTGCTATATGTAGAGGTTCCGTACTGTAGGTAATGACTCAATATGGACATGCTGTATTTTAGACCCAGTTATTCAGACTTAATCACCATACATTGCATTTCCTTATGACTTTTTATGTAAGCGTCTCAAAGTATTTATAAGTTAAGTTTCCTTAAAATTCTTCTTATGTAAGATGTATACAATTTCACAGAAAAATTAATTCAGTCAGACTCAGTTAGTGTTTCACTCATGTTTATGTAATGACAAGTGTTTTTGTGGAGCTGGAAATATAACCTGAAACCGTGCTTTCCACTGTACCCATCTGTACTTTGAGCTGCCATGCATGACTTTATTTGGATTGGTAAATGCATATGGTTTCTCTCAGGTATATAATATTTTAGTTTCGGTGTCTGTTTTTGCAAAATAAAATTGTGTGTTCTGTTGTTCTCAAGTTTTGTTTGTGAGATATATCTCACTTAAACGACTTCTCTTCCGCAGTCTTCTCTTCACTGAGTCTTGGCCTTCTTCCTGAACGCTCAGCTACTCTAATGGTCTATGATGATGTAGTCCAGATAGTCTCAGGATTTCAAGGTATGCTGATTTTTGGAAGATGTAATTGAAATTTAAATGATATTTCAAACAAAAAAAATGCCAGTCTGGTACTTTTAGAACTATAGTGTGGGTGAGACTAGTATTTTATGTGGAATTGTTATGAGTTCCCTGAGGAGTGTTTCTCTCTGGGGTGATTTTACTGAATCGATTAATAGCAAAATTCATCCCTAATTGCTGTGACTAGGGAATTCAAGATAGCTGGTAATAAACAGGCTTGAACTTCAGTGTGCCATTTGAGAACTAGAGATTAAATTTCTTTTGTTATCTACTAGATGTTAGATCATCTAACTTCATCTAATCATCCTTGCAGTAAACATTTTCTGGTGTTCCTATTGTCTAAGAATTTTCTCTGATTTTAATTTTTCTTATCTCCTGCTGTGAGTGCTAGAGGCATAGAGAAATTGGAAATACCTCACATGTGTATTGCTAATATATAAACTTGCTTTCCTTAATTACTTCCTGTGAATCCTTAGCAGACTGACTGCAGTCCCACATATTACAGTGAAATCCAGTGGATTAGTAGAATAAAATCTGGATCCCCTTTCCATAAGGCCAAACACAGAAGTAAAAGAAACTGTAGGTACTATCAGTCAGATGAGCACAGTGCAACTTCTGAATTACACAGTAGGTCATCAGCATGTTCACCTAATCCATCAGGAATCCACCTCCCTTAGCACAACTGACCTGATATACTGAGTTAAGTCTGTTAATAAAAGAACAGAACTTTTTAAAGGTATCTTAATGAGACAAAACAAAGGGACATCCTTCCTGTGAGCACTCCTAATTGGGCATAAACTGTCTTATTCACATGCATTAAGAGTACTTAAATGTTAAACTCTAGCAGATAGTTAATAAACAGAGGAATAGTACTTTTAGTAATACTAAGAGATAACCTTAATTTATATCTAAGGCAGTATAATACAGTTATGACTTCCTAATATCTATTTTTAGGATAGAAGCCATCCAGATAGAGTGGGCTTTTCATTAATGAGAGCACTAAATATGACTGAAGTTTAAAGAGCAGCAAACAAATTATATAGCTGCTGGAATGCTCAGGAAGGGCTAGAGAGCAATACAGCTGTGGTGCATAGATTCTGCTGCTTGAGCAGTGACATTATATAATGGAATAAATCAGATGGACAGTGGGCCATGTTAAATCATAAGGGATTCCACTGGGCAAACCATAAAACATTGTTTGCTGACAGTATTCTAACAGGATTAAGTAAATACTCAATTCTCGTGCACATGTGCTAATATTACACAGCATACTTAAAAGAAAAATACTCATTTTTACAATCTCCTTTCTTAAACAGAACAAAAAATTAGGCACATACACCAAGCAGGGACATGTAAAGGCTAAGGGGACATTTACCAGCCAAGTGAGGCTCTTAAATATTTTCCTTGTAATCTTGCTTCCTTCCGTGAGTTGATTTAAGACTCATAACTGATTATGATGGTGTAACAGGGAAAGAAAATAAAAAAAGAAAATGTTACCCAGAGTATTCTAAGAATTTGAATTTGAACTCCCCTTTTTACAGAGTAAAAACTATTTCATGGTACCAACCCACACTCCTTTTTTTTGGAATTGTCTTATGATGAAACCTAAATGAAAGGCAGATTGGACTTTGTACCAGCGTTTGAATGAAGCCTCTCTAATCTTGATCCAAAATCCTTGTGACCTAGTTTTTCTCTATAACTTCTCCAATTTATTTCCCAGTTATTTCAAGCTGCTGCAAAAGAGTTGATCAGGAGTCACCTTAGTGCAGAAAAGAGAGCAAAGCAGAACTTATTATACTAGGAACAGACTGGGAACACTGGTGTTTGAAGCACCAATCAAAGGAAAAGAAAGGCATGTCTAGTACAGTAAGTTACTGGTTGTTTTTGAATAATTAATCAAGTAAGCAACTTATTATGCAATTGAGAAGCTTGTGTTGATGCAGCCAACCTCATTTTCATGATGGCCTTACAATCCTCTGCAGCATCCTGTCTGTAATTGCAGGAGATAGAGCTCGCCAGCCCTGGGTCATTTAAGTTATTTAATACCAGCAGAGTGAAGAGCTGAACTTTTGCATTCAGTGCATGGGAACTATATTGGTACCCTCTATCTGTCTCTGACATATGAGCAATCAGGGCATTAATTGATTGTATTTTAGATATTACTTCACGTAGACTGAAGCTCAGCTGCCAGTGTGGTGCCACATGTCACACATCCTGCATGGCAGGGGATGCCTTATAGGAGCTCCTTGAGATGTGCACTGGAAAATGGGAAATGACAGCTTTAAAATCATGGTTAACGTGTTGACAAGTAGATGTCTAAAGCAGATATGATCAGTGCTCAGAGTCCTATTTCTTATGGCACTCACTGAGTGGAGGGATCTCATGTGCCATTTATATAGTGAAGTCTATTTGGGTGCAATTTTGTTTTTGTAAGTCAAAACCAGACATCTTTAATAATAAAAGCTGTAATATTGACCTGTTCCCCCTAGTAAGTGCTGACTTGCTGAAAAATACTGTTAAAGAATCTGGTTGGCATAAATGTGTTTTGCCATTTCTGATTCCTTCAACAAGTCTATTCCCAGTCATAAGCCCTAATGTGCCCTATGACCTCTGCTAAAGAGTGCATTGGTGTGTCTTCTAGCAGTGTAGAAAGAAATGGCAGCTGGGGGGCTGGGGCAGTGTGCTGGTGGCATAGCAGTATGCTGGAGGGGAAGGAGTGTTCCTGGTGTAAAGAAAGCCCTGCTTGGGTAGTCTTCGCTGTAGTACCTAGATCTCTAAACACCTACTAATGCATTAACCATCTGGGAGGCACTGAGAAGTGAATATCTTTGTTCCTAGTTTTAGAGAAAGGAAGAGCATGATGCAAAGGATGAGCAGCTTGTCTGATATCCCAGACTTGGCCTCATAGAAGGGAACCAGATTCCTTGGAGCATTTCAATATCAAAGAGCTTGTTAATCTAGGATGTGAATTAAGTAGTTATTCTGCACTAATTCTTTGTATCTATAAGCACAGACTATCTACACAGGAAGCTGTTTCTGAGTAGCTTACACCTTAGAATTTACATCCAAATTCAGTGTTATGCAAGTTTCCTGTAGGGTTTGGGACTTAGCCATGAACATTTTGCATTGTCTGTAGAATTCAAGAAATAGAGGTTTGCTTCGCCCTGGGAGCTCTTTGCTGTCCCAGTGCTACAAAATAATCATTTTTAAGTAGAAAACTCCAAAGCCTGCCTGTTAATTACTCCATCTGTAGATTGAACAACAGTTATTTTCTTTTTAATGCTTAATTACTTGTATCTTCAGAAATACAATGCCAGTTTTTGGCAACTCAATTTTTCTTAATCAGATATTTACACAGCAGAAAATCCTAAAATTTTGCATGGAACAGATCACAATGTTATTCTTTTCTTTGTTGTATTTTCTTTTTCTCTTTTGTTACTATGGATGCTTATTAGTATGGGACTTATGAACCTGCACAGCAGTACGGTCAGTGATCTCTGAGTTTGAACAGTTATGTCCCTAGGTACAGCAAACTGTATGATATTATGAGGCAGGAGGGAGATGAGTCTTCCCTGAGTTCACTTCAGTCAATTCATTTAGAGTGTTGTCATTTTCCATTTAAACCTAGACATTGACTAAGAGAGATTTCTTCCCACTTCACTGGTGTGTTTTTCAGTGACTATCTTAAACATTTAAGAATACTGCTAGTCTTAAAATCCTTCTGTAAATACTTCCAAGTTTCAGATTTTTTTTTTTAATATTTTACAGCTTATTGTTGCAGAATTACCAAAGAAATGACAGCTAAATAATGATCACCTGTTTGGAGATAGTTGCCTGCCAACTAGACTTTTTTTTGCTGGTAATGCAAAGTTTGGTCTCTTTCTTATAGCTGGAGCTCCTGCTGGAAAACAGTTCAAGAAAAGATGCCAGTCACTTGGCTAATACATTGGTAATTGTAAATTTCTGGAGTCGAGTCAAGCTCTTTAATCTTTGTCTCAGTGAAGTTATACACAGCTCAAAGCTGCAATCTCAGACTAATAGAGGAAAAGAAGCAAAACTGTTTTGAGTTGACATATTTGAACCACATTGTCAAATGCAAAGAAAGGGGGAAAAACCTGTTAGCCTTTTGATTTTGTTCTTTGGGGAAGTGTTCTTTGATTGTTCAAAGTGAGCTCTGGAGAACACAATAGCTTCTGATTTAAAAACTAATTTGCATGAAGCACACAGAAATTTGCAGATGGAGTCTTGCTGTGTGTTGCTGAACAGTATTAATGGTAAGCATCCATTGGAAACGTCCATTGACTTTGTAACCCAGGATTCAAATGAGACTTAAATAGTACACGAAACAGTCCTAAATTCTGTTGCAGTAAAGACCCCCCAGTAAATATTTAGCAACCTTGGAAAAACTGCTAAAACTGTACCAGAAGAAGGAAAAATGAGGAATTACATGCTAAGTAATCTGTTTCTGTTTATTTGTGTTCTTTGCAAGGGAAAGTATGGAAACTGTTTTCACCCACGCTTTGTCAAGAGAATGTTTTTATCCAGTGGTTAAATAAAAAGTGACTGTTATCTAGTACATAGCCAAAGCTATGCAAAACCAAAGTGCAGAAGTTATGCAGGTTAATTGGGACTGCAAGTAGGATTGTCGTTTCATAGAACATCACTTCAAAGAGCATAAATTTATCTTGCTATTTCAAAAGAGACAAAATGTAAACACAAATGGTGAACTGGATACTTTTCTGAGCTTTCACACGCGTCACCTCAAATTTTGTTTTCGTTTCAGTGACATTCATTAAAAGAGGCATGAAATTTGAGGTGATCCGAGGAAATAGCATAGTTAGAAAAGCTTCTGACATTATCTGCCTGAACAGTTTTACTCAGAGATGCTTCTAGGAAAACAATGGCAATTGCAAAATAAACACAAAAGTACTGGTTTTCCTTCATGTGCTGCTATAACTTTCAGATGTCTGTCCTTCTCAAGCTATTTCTACTTGTAATATTAAAAAAAACAACCTCTTAATGTGCTTCCATAAATATGAACTTCTAAATATTCTGCCCACCTTGGATATAATGTCATTTTTAACTTTTTTTTAGGTGCACGCACTCAGCCACAAGTTCACTTTCAGAGAAGATCAGTGAAATTACCAGAGAACACCAGCTATAGTGATTTGACAGCGTATCTGACCGCAGCCAGTTCACCCTGGGAAGTGGACAGTTTCCCTTACTTGCAGGGACTGGATGGAAATGGAACAGGTAAGCTATCACTTCGGTTTTGCTCTGATTTCATATCAGTCCAGGACCAACTAACTTTTGACCATGTAATTTTTTCCATCTCATTACAATAAACATTCTTTAAAATTCAGATGGCATTATTGGTTCAACTGCTCTGTCAAAATGCTGTTCTAATGAGATTTAATGTAACAGAATTCATGTGGTATTGACATCAGCTATTTTTTGTGCTGATAATCATAGTTGTAGAAATCAGTGTTTAAATTAACACAGAGAGCAAGGTCCCTCCTAAATGGAAGGACTGAATAACACAGAGCAAGATTCCTGATCTTGGAAGGACAGAGAAGTTTGCTACACTTGAGCTAAGTCTCTGAATTTGTCATTTTGCATTTGCATATATGAAAATAGATTAATATGAAGGAGAAAAAGAGAATATTTATATTGAGGATGTGATAACATTTCTTGTTCAATCTCTATATAAAAAGAGCTAAAAATCCTAAATATCAAGGATCTCATAATTTTGTTTCAGCTGAGAGTTGTTTCATTGTCTTTTAAATTACCTTTAAATCTAGCTTTGGCCAAAAACTGCTAATTCTTGTAGCACCAAAGGAAAAGTACAAACTGTATTAAATTCAGAGCCACAATACATTTTTGTGATTGCAACTGCTTGTAATTCTTCTTGCACTTCTCGTTTAGTTTTGGCTGTAATAATTGGTGTTGTGTAGGCTAAAGAAAAATGGATGAATTGGGCATAGAAGGCTTGAAATGCTTCAACTGCTGTGAAAGGAAGAACTGTGTGTTCTCTGTGGCTGTACTGGGGTTAGAAAGAAATTAATGGACTTCCAGTGCAGCAAAAGCAATTGAGATGAGGAAAACCTTGCTGTGGTGTGGGTTGTTTAAACTATAGAATCAAATGCTTGAGGCTGTTGGACTGAGTTAGACAATCACCTGTCAGGATGGCATAGGCATAGCTGAGCCTGCTTTGAAGCAGGCTAAATAGCCCCTTGAGGTCCCTCCCTGCTGTTTCTCAGGATACGTTTACTTGTGATGTTTTGATCTAGGTGACTTTGAATGCTAGGTCATGCAAGTAAAGGGTATGTGGCTGAGCTTTCTGGTTTTCCCTCAGGGTGGAAAAAAAAAAACCAACAAGCAAAATAAACTTCCTCTTCCCTTTGTACATATCTGAATATCTCATTTTCTATTACAATTAGAAATGTTTCTGCTACCTTATTCCAATCCTTCTGTCTGCTTCAGTGAGTACATCTCATCCTATCCCTTCACCTGTCATTTCCTCATTTTCATCTTCAACCTTCTGTTTTCTCTGGCTGTATTCAGACATCTTCTAATATCTCTTTTCTCTTTCTAAAAGGAGGGGACATACTTATCATGTTCATCTCTCTGTCTACTTCCTCACCTCCTTTCCTTTTATCTCTAAACCCACTGAGCAAACTGTTGGATAATGTGTGGAGAATTCCTCTCTCCCAATTCTTTTCTCAGTGCTATGTAGACCACCTTCCCACGCATTTATTTAGTGACATTTTGGCATGACCAATTTTCACAGGAGCTGCACTATCAGGGCATCATCTTCCTCCTGTTTTAACCACTTGGCCTCCTACAAAACAGCTACAAAATGCACCCCTACGTTTTTAGTGTCTGTATATACAGACTATGAAGGGATCTTCTCTTTTTGAGCGTGGATGCCTTTAATTTGACTTTTATTAACCTTCACTTAAAATTATGTGCCAAAAGACGAGAATGAGTGGCAAATAAATGGGTTCCAATAAATTCTTAAGAGCCTTGTCTTCTGAATGCTGTAGCATCTACTATGGAATAGTATAAACTGTGAATATATTCAGTATAGATAGTCTATTTTTAGTAGGAATTTCTCTATCTGTGGAACATTAAACTGTAAAGTCCTCACCTTGGGTTGACTTCCTTTTCTTCATCTCTGAGTGACATGGTGAAGATGTCACCTGAAAAAACTTTTGAAGGAATAAAAAATGAGATAATCTGTTGAGGATTTAAAATTTTCTGTTCCAAAGAAAGAAGAACAATGGGAAAAAATTGTAGAATTCCTAACCAACTTTGCTGAATGCTGCCCCTCTACCTAATTGTTCGTTATTCTGTTCTTTCACGGTTTCTTTGTAGGTCTGTAGACTTTGAGAGAGGTCCTCTCATTTGTTTAAATCAGCTCAGTTCTCTGGCTGGTATCTATCCAGAGTGACTTTACAGTTGTTTTAACTAAAATATATTCTCTATGAATTCAGCAGTTTTTTACAAAATCCTAAATGGATACCAAAATAGTAACATGGGCCAGTAAAAATTAATTGCATGATCAAGCATGTTCCAAACATTATGTTCAAACATTTTGCTGAAAGTAGTGATCAGCCTATATAGTGTTAGCTTGTTTTCTGTAGTAGTCACTGGCTGGAAAACTGTAGGATGGTTTCACAAAATATCCTTTTGACCAGGCTGGGTGAAACCTTCCAAGCAACAGTGGACAAAGCTGGCTAATTATCATTACTCCTGCTGGGTTTGTAGGGTGTCACGTCTGAGTCACAGTGGATTTTCCTCTGATGTTTTTTAGAGCTCTTTACAGGTCACCAGAAGTCAAAAATGGCAACAAATAAATGAAAGCTGACATTTATTGAAGTCCATTCCCATTTAATCTGTGCATGTCCTCATCAGTTTTACAACATGTGAGAGTTTCATAAGCATTGATTTTAATTTACCTTCACAATTGAAGGGGAGTAAATTTATCTTTTTAATGGACATTTACGTAGTGTACCAGATGGCAAACTGAAGGATTTTTTTTCTACTTGCCAAAGATTTCAGAAACTTCATCTCCTAATGTAACTTCGGCCCAGCACAGAGCAAAGAGTCAGTGCTTCTTATGTAAAAAAGATGCAAGCAATGTTTCACCATCCGGATACATTTTGGGGGCTGGATATTCATTTTTATGGATATTAGGCAGGTATGCTTTATCAAGAGAGGAATGAAAGCAAAATTCATAGCTTGCCTTATCTGAAAATAAGTACAATATAAAATATAACCTAGTTTTAGATATTTATCTAAAAGTTTCTAAATCTAAAGTTACCCTTTTGTCACTAGGAATCTGTAAGCTAGAAAGTGACCAGGAATTAGCAAGAGGAATTTATTTCTTTAACACTGCCTGAGGAGCTCAGTGACCCAAGAGCAGTGACTTGGGGACAGGCATCAATGGGACAGCAGTTACAGGTACACAGGGAGGCAGTGGATTAAATAACTGTGAATAAATGAACGACTTTTCACACCAATTCCCTCTTCTCTGCTTCATGTTGTATGGCTGTAGAGGTGTGATACCATGCACTGTTGGAGCTCATAATATCCATGCTTGGGTAGGCTGGCATCTTTCCCCTGTTCTGTATTTAAATTCTCAGACCTTATTTTCTATTTTTTTCTGTTACCTCTCTGGCTTTCTTAGATGGCCATCTTCATGCTCCTGTTTTCTCAGCAGTTCAGGCCTTCTGGAAGCAGTCCTTCTGCCCCTCAGTTTATAGGAGATCAAAGCAGACCTGTGCGCTTGGGTGTGTTCCAAACCTCCTTGGCCTGTTGGCTGTGGAACACTGTCCTTGGAATGTGGGAAAGACGTGTCAGAGTAGTTGCTGTAGTAAATAAGCCACATGCGGAGTTACTTGTGGTTATTTCCCATGTCTTTAGCTTGGTATCTCTAGAAGAATTCAAAGAATTTAAAATTTGGGGGAGTTTTGAGGAGTTCTGTCTTTTTTTCTTTTTGCCACCTCCACTCCTTCTGCCCTTTGCAGGTGGTGTCCTAACTTCAGTGAGCTGGCTGTCACTGGGGGACATCCAGTTTGGTAAGGGCCATTTCTACAAGCTGTCTGTTATGAGGTCTTGTAAAGGTCCTAGTGCTTTCCCACTGGTTTGTAGAACGTGTTTGACCTGATGAGGACTGGCACTGAGATGCTGTATGTTCCTGAGGACCCCTTGTTGTGACTTGGTGTAGCTGATGGACAGATGAGTGTTGGGCAAAAATGTGCTTTTACAGGGAGTTTACTGGCATAAAATGACAGGATTACAGGCAGGGTGTAATCTCTCACTATCGACCAAACGCCCCCATTCCTTTCCTTACCTGCAAAGATTAGCCCTGTGGCAGGATCAGCAGCTGCACAGCCACTGCATGCAGCGCTTGTGAGCAGGCTTTAGCAGCAGTGTGAGCTCAGATGGGCTCAAACCCTTGCAGAACGGAACGATCTGTGTCTTCACTTCGCTTTGAGCTCCAGATCTTGGTTTTAAACAGTACCAGAAAACTTTTTTCCCCTGAATACGTACATACATTTTCCTTATTTTTTTCCTGTCATCTATGCATTCGGTTACATAGCTGCAGGGTTATAATATTTCTTTAAATCATGTGTGGGGAAGTAATTGCCACTGGCATACAGTTGAAACATAAAGAATGAGTATTATCTTGTATACATAAAGTGATGTCCTAATAATCCATTTATCTTGGTTTATCTCAGTGGAAGCCCAAACAAAATATATTGTGGCATTCTTAAACATGAGCAATCATGTTTGCAGCGTCCTTGCATATATGAGTGTCATAATGTAGCTTTATACAAATATGGTGCTGAGATATTTTTTTTTCCTGTAATTGTGGCTGTGATGCTTGTATTTATTATTTTACAGCAAATGAAGATTCAAAAGTATATTCAGGAGATTTTGAGTTGTGATTTTTTAATCTTCTGTATTTTTCACTTTATTTTGGAGAATTCTGAAGTATATGCATCTTGTTGGTTGTGAGTTTTGTAATGTGGGGAAGATTAATGCTACTTTCCCTTGAGAAATATATCAATTTGGTGCTGTGGCGCTGAACCAAATGGGTATGTCTTAAACTCTGGGAAAGTCTGTAATCATAATTTTCATTCATTCTCTTGGTACAGGAAACAGCACTAGGTATGACCTCACCCCTGTTGCTGCAGTCAGTGTCCATCTTCTCAACAGTGATGGTACTCCAGTCCCAGTGAATGGCCCCATCTACGTAACAGTGCCTCTGCCAACAAACAGCAACTTGAAGCACAATGCACACGTTCCAGCATGGAGGTTTGACCAAAAATTTGGTAGGTCACATTTAATTATGATTCCCTAGACGGCTTCGTTTATCTGAAACTAATGTATCACTAGCATTTATTGTCTTACGTTATGTTACATATTAAAGTCTTCACTGGAGTGTACAGAAAGTATGCTTTCTGTCTAAAAGAAGAGAAGATGGAGTTGTTTTATTCAAGCAATATGTAGTATTTGTGCAAATATATTTGAGTAGCATTCTGTGCCACTTCTTGACAAAAAACTTCATAAATGTAGCATTTTGAAATTATTGAATGTTTTACCTAAAACTATCCTGAGAGAACTTGATTTCAGGCAGAGACTGAGAAACAGAGCTGTATCAGCTGCAGTATTGAACTGGAAGTCTGGAGAAATGGAAACTAGTCTTATCTTTGCCACCAGTCAGCTATTTGACCTTTGGTCCATCTCTTGTCTTTGTCACTCAGTTTCCTGTCTGACATAGGAAATATAACAGTGACTTCTTTTCTAAATCCCTTTGAGATTGACTAATACCATCAAGGAAGTACATTGTAGGTGTGTTAAAATACTTTGATATGACAAAATATCTAATTGGTATAATCTGTAAAATGCTGTCCAGTTTTTACACTGCAGAATAACTTGCTATTGCGAGCAGGATTTCTCCTGAAATCTGTGTTTTAGTCTTTCTCTCTCTTTTTTTTTTTTTAATAAGGATTGTTTTTTCCATTGCTAGCTAGTATCCTGTGCTGGCCTTCTTTATACCTTTAAAGTGTAAAGGACCAAGCATTTAAGTCTTGTCCTGTTAATTCCACTTCCACAATTATTTCACTGTGTCCTCTGAAGTATAGACCAGATGATTGTTACGAAAAATAAGTCAAGAAAGAAGAATGGAAGATGAGAAAGGCAGAGGATGTGAGGCAGAGAGGAAGAAAAAAGAAACAGATATGTGGGGTTGTGCAGATAATCAATGGGGCTTTGTCCCTGCAGGGCACAGGTTTTGAGCCAGTTTGTGATCATGTCCAGAAGTGGAACAACCAGCCTGAAACCATTGTGCTGGAGGAAGGGGAGGGGAGGGGGGAAGAGAGAGGTGAAAGGGGAAATAACGTTTTTGTTTCCTTCCTGCCTCTGTTTGCTGAAATAGGTGACTTTTTTTCAAATAGCATGCCTGATAAATCACTTGTCGGGAATCGGTTGTATTAGAGAGTAAAGCAGTAGGATTTAATAAAGAGTAGTTTTGAATACAGTGCAAAATTGAGTAGTAGAAAAAGTGCGCGATAAGTGGATTGAGAGTTTCCCTTAACAGCGGAAATGTTGGTTTTCTTGTGGTGCCCTAGCAGTGCATTTCACTTACCTTCTGCTTGACACTGATTTTGAGTTGTGATTCTAGAAAACATTCTGTTTTCCCTTGTTAAAGGCAAGGCTGGTAAGACTGGCTCATGTTTACTTTCTCCACAAGAAACAGTCCATCCCTAATCCTTCCTGCCAGCTGTGTTACATCTGAAGCTTGCCTCACTGCAAGTTACTCACTGCTGGTCAAAACACTCTGATTTTGATTATGGAGCTTTCTCATTTACAGCCAAATTTCCATGCCCCTGCAGTGGGCCACAAAAGTTCTCTCTTACTATGGAGGATGTATTTTACTGTTACATATAAAGAGCTAGTTACCCTACTGTGTTCAGTGTGTATTATGTAGTACAGATCAATATGGGTTAATTAATTACTGCTGCAGCTTGAGGCTCCTAGTCTGGACACAAGTTCATGATAAACTAATAGATCACTTGTGTTGTAGGGAGGAGAAGGCATGAGGACTACTGAACAAAACAAGTTTTTTGTCAGGCCACTTAACTTCGCAAACTCATGGAGAGGAAGGTACTGAAGACATTATCCTTAGGCTCCAGCTCACACTTCAGCTGAAGTAAGCATCTTTCCATGCAGCCAAAGATGATGAACAAAGACTTATTTAAGCCCTGATTGCAGCATGCCAGTTCTAGCAGAATTTTGGCCACATCCCAACCAATTTAAATTAGAACAGACTAATTTAATAAGTGGAGCAGCTACTCTATCTTGTATGGGCTGCATTAGCACCCTAAGGGCTGTCAAACTAGCCGTATGTAGCACTGGCAGGGGGGTACCCTGTCATTCTCTGTGCCTGTTGTGCTTGGAATCTGAAGGGAGGAGGCTGGATTGTGACTGGGATGGCCTCATACTGGAGAAATGCTTACCAGGCAAGTAAGTTGTTGTAACCCTTTTGCACTGCCAGCTCTGTGCCTTGTCAGGATAGGCCCTCTAACCTCATTATTCTGATTTTTGTCTTTCATTTCAGGAGCTGTTTTTTTCAGAGCTAATTACATTGTGGTCTATCCTTAATAGCTTTTCAGTGGCTTAAATTTTCACACTTGTATCTGAAAATTGAGTAAATGCCAGAGATGGAAAACCATGAATGTATTGCCAGGCAATAATGCAGTGCTTCTCTCTGGTGTATTTACAGTACAGTGGGCGTTTGTTCGTGCAAGCCATTGTTTTTGTTCAGAATCCATGTGGTTGTCATCATTACTGTATCAAATATAATTTCTGCTCTAGAAAGCAGATTTTTTTTCACTTTTAGGAGAAGGGAGTGGAAAAGGGACAGAAGTAATAGAAATGTGTCTAAATTCTTACAATCACATACATTATGCTGAGCTCATGGTGCACCTGATATAAATGCAGTGGTGTCTGACTGGAAGCGCAGAGGTTTTCATGGTTTCTACAGAAACTATGCTTATTTTCATATTACAGCAGCTAAATATAATTGATAGCTTCTTAGGATATTTGCCTTAAACAAAAAATAAACAGTTGTCATTCCCAGTTTTTCACTTTGAGAAAGAGCTATAGAGAGAAGGGCTCAAGGCTGAGGGTGTCTACAGTGGCACTGGTGAAACAGCCAGAAAAAGCAGGCTGACATCAAAATAAGACAAGCTGCTGCATCTACTTTACGCTGTTCCAAATGAGATGTTTCATTACAAAACAAACTTATTGCCTAGCAATGCCTTGTGTGCATAGCGGGAATTAAAGCAATAGTACTTTTTGAATAATTAATGACATAAATAGCATCTAAGTATGCTATGGAGAAGTTTTAGGATAAATAAGTGTTATTCACCTTAACAACCTTGTTCTTGTGTTGGAAGTACTCTGCCACTTTTCTCTGCTGCAAGTGTTAGTGTTGGTAATGCCGGGCGTAGGTGCACTGATGTGAAGACCTACAGCTTCATCTTTCTGCACTGTGATATACCCCTTCTCTCTCGTACTCCATGCAGCTCTGAAAGAGTGCTTTTATTTCATCATTCACACAAAGTTTTGAACGGAAGAGATGCAGATTCTCATTTTTATCATCAGAGTTGCTCAATGAGGCTTTTGTTTTTCATTTTCTTAATGCTGTTTTATGTCTCTCAAAATCTGAAGAGGATGAAGATAGCTGGAATTGTGACTTTGTCCCTGTACGTTTGCCTTGACGTCAGTAGGATTTATCTTTTTGTTCCTGGACACAAGATTGTTGTCCAGAACTTCTTTCTAGCGTTGTCCATTTGTGAGTACTGGAATGAGTGCCACAGATCTGAGTAGGAATGAAAGTTGGTACCTCCTGCATGTTTTCCAGCTCCCACCAGCTGGGCTGGGTAACACAGCAATTGTTCAGCTGTGTTCTCCTCTGTCACCATTTGAATGGTTTTTGTTTTATGCTAAGATGCCACTTTTTCATGTGAAACAGTGAGCAACACTATAAGACTCTTCATATTAAGTTCTCAGTTTCATGCTATGTGGTACGGAGGCATTATGTTGCCTGTAGACTACTAGATGCATGTCTGGAGCTGTAGGAAGGACTTTTAAATATTACCAAATATTGCAGAGTGTGTAATACAGAAATAGAGTTCATTAGCTATTCAGTGACAATACCGATGCATTTGGTTGTTTCTTAATCCTACCAAGGAACAGGACAATATTTTCAACATTGTTTCCAACAGTGGATGCAAAGGACTCTTGGTGTGAAGGGGTTAAACCTCCATCCTTTGTCTCCTCCCTCCTTAAAATGTGTTCCTTTTTGTGTACTAATGTGTAAGGGAAGTTCAGAATACTACTACTCTGCTCCTGCTCCTCCCTTAACTCTTGGTGTAAGTCTTTGACATGACCTTTTTGTGTTTAAGTTGTTAGCTTCTTCACAGCAGAGGAGGTTTTCTCCAGTGCCTGAAAGCTCAACCATGTTTTATGTAAAGTGATTACGGAACATGGAAAAGATTATCTTGGGGAGCTCTTACTATAGCTTTATAAAGAATAATACTTTATGTACTCTTGCTGTGCTTTGTCAGTGGTTTTTGACTGCATTTGATGTTGTAATAGATGTCTAAATACACTGGAAAGTCTAATACTTATGTTTTGTGGGTGACGTACTGCTTTCGGTGGTAAAATTTCCATTGATTTTTGTAGAGTCAAAGTTTCCTGCTTGTTCCTTAGCAAAATGAAGATAATGTTTTCTGTGCTCAAAAGAAGTTGTGTGAATGTATAAACACTGTCAGAACCTTTTGACTGGAATATGATTTTGCTGCATATCATGTAGATGAAGTGATGCTTGCTTTTTGTTCATACCACTCATAGGGAAGAGGAGCAACTACAGTCAGAGAGAAAATGTAAGCATCTGTACATCTACTGTCTGTTATTTGTAAATAAGATGACTCGTACATGATTTAAATTTCCCATTGGTGGAATCCTCCCAAAGAACAGAATGACTTGCATTTTCATAAAAATAAAATGTATTCCTTTTTGAGTTAGCTTCTCATTGCCACCACATTCATACACTGCACAACAGACATAGGATAATTTAACAAAAATATGTGCAGCCGTCTTGTTTGGTGGGATACCTGGTGCTGGGTATGAGAGCAGACTCTGAACTAGGCTCGGATGGACTGCATTAGTACTACATACAGCTGCTTGTGCCATCTGGGATTTCATGTGCTCTGAGTGGGTACTGCTGGGTTTGCTACATGAGAAATGTGCATAACTCCATTAC